TGCACTCTCAGATACAACTAGCACTTACCATTCTTATTTAACATTAGGGACTTTTAGCAAACCTTTATCGTGTTCCGCGTACCGCACCACCGAAGCCTTTGAAGCATGATTGGAAGCGCGTCACACCAACGGTTTGCTAAGAGTTTTTATTGTTTATGGATTCGGAGCGCGTACGGAACTATCTCGTTTAAAACTGTAGCAGTGGCGGCGCGCATCGTCGGCTGCGGTTCCACTGATCAACCCGTAACGCGACTGACAGGCGATGCGGCTGACCGATGACACGACTGACCCGTGACGCGACTGTCTCGTTACACGACTGGCGCGTGACACGACTGACGCGTGACACGACTGACATTTGAAGAAAATTACATTTTTTAAATAAAACTTTTCGTTGAAATTGAATAGTTTTAAAACTGTAGGAACGTAAATTAGTTTTGTCAATGCTGCTTGTTTCTCATCAATAAATTAAAGAAAGTAGGACACAAAGTATGCCTGACACCTCTGACATTTAAAAAAGTACGGAATTGTTTCTAGCTACTCTTTAGGTTATAAGATCTATACATTTTGCACGAAGGGAACATCGCGATTTGTACGGCCGTTGTGAAAAGGGTTCAAAAGCGTAGGTGGCTACATACTGAATAAAGTAGACAGAACTGTTTATATTAAGCCACATCATCTTCGTTACACCGCTGACGTTTCAGTCGGTTACATCCGTTTTTTGTTACTAATTATATAAAAGAAATATGTCAACACTTCGGCAACACTGAACTGTGTGGTCATTTCATAAACGTTGCTTGGCATACTTCTACGCTTTTTAAATTAAGCTGTCGAGAAATCGGTTTGCTAGAACTAAATTGAAACGCTTTGAAACTTGTGTCAGAGTTAACAGATACCGCCTAATTGCCGTAATTACCCATAGGAGGCATTCAAAAATCAATTTGGTCCATACATGTGCCGACTAAATATAATCTAAAGCATTTATTTTCGTGAACCTTCATCATCATGCTGTCCCAACAATAAATTAAAAAAAATGATCACAACTATCAATTATTAAATCAATAAATCGGTTATACCAATGTAGAACTTTTCGGGAGAATGACCCATATGTGTGTTTTTGTACTATTCTTGAATGTGCGAATGTCTATGTACACGCATTGCTATTTGTGTGCCTGTCCATGTTAGAAGTCATCTGCATCTGCATTTACGTTTTGAGCCTGCGTGATCACGTGCGCTCATGCGTCTAACCATTTTTTTTTGAACCCGTATATGCATAAAAGCAGAGGGGGCATGGGCATGCCCAAGTCTTCCAAGGTCCTGCTTTAGCGTAACCCCTGATGATTATATTGTCTAAGACATGCGTTCGTCTCTAGTCCGAGCGAGATCGAGCGAGCAGTATAAATCTACTAGACTCGTTGAGAGGACAGGCTGTGAGGCACTCCTGCGCCGGCACCTATCTCTGGTGTTCATCACGGCTCTGTGTCTGGGTTGTCAATGCTCAAAGCACCATGATGTGTTCTCTTAGAAAAAAAGAGTCTACATAGCTCTCCTCAAAGAGAGGAACGTTCATGTAACCTATGTTCCTTCAGAAAGGGAGAAACTTTCGTTCCTGAAAGCACGGCAGCAAAGTTCCTCCATCGTCTGCATATCGTTATGGCGGACCTAAATCGAGCAAGTCGAGCTCAATAACGCTTAACGAGGACGCAAAGTCTCTTTTACGGGGCGAGAGGAGCAGCAAATAAATGCGTAACACAAGCTTTCCGCGAACTGTATTTATTTCCGAAGCCAGCTTCCCCCGAAGGCAAAGAAACTTGCGTTTCGAAAGCAGTCACTCGGTGCTCTAGTCGTCAGCACTGCGATGTTGAACGGAGACAGCCGATTCCCAGTTACTTCGCGCACTTTACGTCTTACCTTGTTCATCGAGCCGAAATTTCTTCGTCAGAACCGGACATTACGGAGGAGTGGTTAGCCATTCGTGAAACAAAAAGCAACTCTCAAAGCAACAAATTCAAAGCAGCATATATCGCTTTATGTTGCACGGTAACCAGAAATTATCGCGAGGCAGCGGAGCGTAAAAGAAGGCGAAATCGCTTGCTACCAGATAGCAGGGTCAAGCAGAGTAGATGCAAGTAGCTTTGCTAGGCTGCGTTAGGTACCACCGAACTCATGTTGTACAAACACATTTTTATTTGTTCACGCCACCATTGCGCTTCAGACACATTTATTGTACACACACGTGTATATACATTACGCGTACAACAAGCATCAGCTGAACATATACAACGAAGGCATACACATACAGGCCATATACAAAAATTAATAAAACAGCACACTCCGTGTCCACATTTTACACTCGTCGTTTTGGAGGTACGGATATTCTCGGTGATCACCCACGCAATAAATAATGTTCCCAGCATGTGGATTCTTTTTTCAGTAATGTCCTACCTCTGAAAGTGTTTTGAACGGCTCATTGGATGAATCTGTTAGTAAAAGGTAAACGCTCATGCCGTAATTATTTGCAATACAATAAAACAAGCGACTCCACTGCGGTTCCAAGATATGTGTTGGCTTCCCCGCAGAACACGTCGTAGCCAGTTTATCTATCGTAGTATTTGTTTTTCTATTCGTGCTGTTCGCGTGTGGCTGCACTTGCCGTCTTGAATTAATTTCTGTAGAAGGGGTACTCACTTAGCTGAAATGGATGCTTCACGGGCAGATAAATCACTTTTGTATCAACATGAATGCAGTCAAAGCTGCGACTTGCGCACCTCAGGTTTAAGCCGTGATGAGCTCAGAAACTTTTAGCGCTCATCCCAGCGCGTCACTTGGAGGGCAGTTTCTCCATGAAACGTAGTATATCTATACAGCAAAATAAATTATAGTTTGTTTCGACGATTTCTTTCACCATCCTCGCTTAATGTTCAAATTCAAAACTGTAAATATACGTACTTTCCGCCATATTTCAAGACTGCTCAGTTCTTCAAACAGGGCGCAATCGCTCTCGGAGACGGGACAACAGGACATCGCAGATGACAGCCCCATTGGTCACAGTACTATAGGAGCTACGGTTCAGACCAGCGTTCCAACCTGACTATCCGCGAGTCGATCGATTGTACCGTAACCCCTCAAGCGGTCTTAAAATATTTAATGTAAGGCACAATGTCAACCGGCGACACCTGCGAACACACGATCACATCGCCGAGAATTCCAGTCTTCGTTCACAACGCACAACGCGCACAACACTTCCACCGCGATGTTGCAGCTATGTAGCTGACACGTAGGAATACAAAACCACATTAATTGCCGGTTGGCACTTGGCATCGGAAAACAGAACCGAACTTAGCACAGAAGACACGCAGGCATCCGGCAGCCACACCTGCCTGTCTTAGACGCAGTTTCCGCGCTTTCCATAACGTCGTCAACGTCGACACGTCGTTCCGCAATCCGGAGGTGGCCACCTGAGCTCCAGTGTACACAGCGCTGCTGGCATTGCTCTGGAACTTCGCTGTTTCTAACGGCTTTGTTGGCTCGTTTGACAAAATCAGCGGTAAAAACGTGAATGCAACCAAAACGTTGTGCATGATTGGGCTGGGAGACGGAATTACAGGCGGCCTTCTGTGTCGCTGAAGCTCGATCAACTCAACAACGTTTATTAAACACCACGCGTGACGTGTTCGAAAAACCAAACAAAGAGAAGATGAGTTGGGAGGGCGAAAGCTTTCTCCCGTCTGCCTGGAGAAGGAGAAAAACCTTTCGTTCCTCCCTGTTTCTCGTGTCCGCTTGGGGGCGCGACAGTAGAAGGGAGGAAAACGCACATTTGCTACCTTTTTCCTCCTTTTTTTTATTAGAGTGTTCGTCTGACATCGTAGAGTTTTTGCGGATCGTTTTCACAAGACCAAGAGCGCTCTAAGCGGACTCTTTAGAGCACTTGGGGCAGTACAGACGTCAACAGGACATTCAGGGAACGTTATGACAGCCCGAGGACGTCACCAGAACCAGGCGAGCTGGCAGGAGCTGGAAGGAATGGAAATAGCTGCACAATATTCCGGTGCCAATATTGTACTAGGGAGACGGGACCTTCTAAAACTGATCAATACTAGATTTTATAACATCTATCATTACACATTGGCGGCGAACGCGAACTTGACCATTCGCGGACGAGTTGATTGCGTTCCACACTCCTGTGTTCCACACTCATATACGTATTTGATAAGCTTAAAACATGGGGTCATTTCGGGGACCCCTTTACCTCTGTCGACGTCTTGATCATTCGTGAGTACCCGAGACAAAGGAGGAGAAACGTTCAGTAAATCCGGAATATTAATTGAAAAAATATTTCGAGATTAAACATTGAATACGTCTCAAAAAATAATTTCGGAGCAAAAAAAAAAGAAAAAGAAAGAAAGGGTAGGGGGACGAAAAAAGAGAGGGGGGGGGGGGGTCGGTTCATGATATTCGTTCGACTCCGTTTGACCTTAAGTGAGCCGACCGCAGCTGACGATACTATCTGACGAAGCCAATTAATCAACGCTAAAAGTGTATCATCACGATGCTAGCTTTTTTTTTTTTTTTGTATGACTTCGCTATAACCGGGTACACAAATCACGCGCAGAAAAGAGAGCGCAGAATCACGCCACATTCATTGTGCGTTATTGTTTTAATCGGTGATAGTGAGTGTATGTACAAGTGAAACGGAGTGTACACCCACAATTCAAGGGAAAAAAACAGAACCCCCCCCCCCCCCCCCCCACACACACACACACACACAGACTTCCTTAGCCTCTACTTGCCAAATAAGTCACTTCTAGCCACTCTCTGGTCTCGGATTTGAGAGGCTGCAACGCTCTGACGTTTTGGGGTCTCATGGTATTCGGTGAACACGCGGTCGATGACAAACGTGTCGCTTTAGACTCGCTCATGTTGTTTCTCATTGTAACGCACAGCTACTCAAAGTGAACACATGGTCAGGCTTAATGTTTACACGCGACGACGTCTTTTCGCAGGTTCCCGAGAGCTCTCTCGGTTCGCTGAACAGTCTGGTTCGCCACTTGGTCTCCTACTGTCGAAACGATCTCCAGAAAGTGCGTATGTTCTTTCGATGGATCGCCGAGAATATCGGGTGAGAAATTCCTTCCGTTCCGGCCACCTTCCTTGATTTCACGCAGACGAAATTCACGTAACGTTTTCAGACGTCACTTCATGCCGAGCATCTCTATGTGCTGTATCGCTCTGGCTTCCGCAACATGCGCAAACAAGTTTTTTTTTCTTCAAACATTACGGCACGGCAGTGGCGCTAACTGTCGAACTGCACACGCGCGGAAGCAATTGGCTTCTCGCAAGACGGGTTTTTGGGCATGCGCTGTTTCCACAACTCATGTGACCGAGTCGGCTTTTTCACAAACAACGATTTCACGATAATGTGTAACGCATTCAGACAGTTCTGTATGAACAAGCAGTGAGCTAAACAAAAATGACCAAACGAGTTCAAGCAATGTTGTTAGAACAAGCGACACGACTTCAAACAAGGCGCAGTGAGTTCAAGCAATGTTGTTTGAAAAAGCAGTGAACGCACAAAATGAGGAACGAGTTCAAAGAATTATGTTTGAAAAAGAAATGCGTTAAAATGTTGTTTAAACAAGCAATGAATTTAAACCGTGTTGGTTGAACAAACAGTAAGTTCAAACACTGAGCAATTAATTTAAACAATGTTGTTAGAACACACAAATATTTTATACAATGCAAAGTGTGTTCGAATAAGGGGAAATGGATTCAAACAAGGAAACTATTAAAACAATGAACAGTGAGTTTCATAATTATATGAGCAAGCAATGCGTTCAAACAATGAGCAACGCGACCAGGGTCTCGAACTGTAACTGAACCGTAACCTTAACAGAAGCACTAATTTTGCTCGAACCGGAACAAAACCCGAACCGAAGTGTTCGGCACCATCTTGTAGCTGAGCATGAATCGGAGCAAAACTAAAGAACCGTTCCGAGCCGGTTCGCCAAACGGTTTGGGCGCGCATTCGCGCTGCGATTCCGTGCGCTGTGCGCCAGAAATTTTGAGAGGCTTAGCGCTGGGGGCAAGGTGCTTCCACTTATGAAAATATTTTTCTAAGTGTATTTTACAAAGATGAAGGTTAATAACCGCTGTTAATGACTGTCAAAAAATCCGCTTGAGCTGTTCAAATTCATCGCGCCCACGCGCCCGGCTAGGGTGCCTACATGTTTGTCTGTCTTAGGGTGAAGACATCCATTGTTGCGCTGAATGTGCCAGCGCGTGACACTCTCGCGCACTCGGTGCGTGACTTGGGCGGTAAAATGGCGTCTATGCATTAGCCAAAGCTACGCGCTCGAGCTGAGTGACACCGGATAGCGCGCACTTGAAAATGCATAAAAAAACAACTGGGCGGAAAAATGGCTGAGATGTCACCACTCAAGCAAAAGCGCGCGTGTGTATGAAGGCACTCTACGCCCGGCAAAAAGCTGACGCCATCTGTCGACGAGATGACGCATTGAGCCGCCGCGGAAATAACAACGCAGTTTCAAATTTAGCTTCACTACGGTTGACCAAACGCCATTTCATCGAATCACGTTTTAGAGAACGGGCTCGTTTTATTGAAGCTCGGTAGAGAGAAAGCGGTGCCTGAGTTTAGAGAAGAGCCGCTTACAGAAGAGGCGACGCTGTCTAAAAAAAGATGCCCTACTTCGCGCGTGTATCACTTGCCCCCCCCCCCCCCCCCCCCCCTCCTTTCCGTGTTTACGGCGCTTCGCGGCGACAGTCCAACAGTCTGCGGCGGCTCATTCGAAAAATGTTAACCTACCTTGCCCACCCGTACACGCTCCCTCGTAGCGGCCGAACTCGTTAAGAGGAGGTTTGTCACCCCTTTCTCCAAACTGAGCTTCTCTATAAGGCGATTCGACAAACTGGGATCGGTAAAACGGCATTCGCTGAATCGAGCTTCTCTAAACCGTTGTGCTCGTCGCTCTTGCAGTTTTGGAAACGCAAGTCAGCGCGCAAAGGTCCTTCTTGAAGTTCAAATACATAGTATCACGCCAACATATGCGATTGAGCCCAGACATACGTCTTTTTCCTCTGGTCGTTTCACGCAGCCAAGTCAGAGCGTAAACATCAGTAAAATTAATATGGCGTATGCAAGTAACAATTTTTGAAGGGCACTCGTCAATTTCTGCAGAAGATAGATTTATTTTTGTGCTTGGTGAATAAAAGGGAGGTACCCAGCCCCATGTCACGTCTTGAATTTTTGAACATCATTCATATGAACAGATGGAGTGCGCAAGATCAATTAATGAACGCTTAGTTTTTACCGTAGTAATCCCCTTCATGGCAGCAGAGGTGTGCGAAAATTCGGTAAAATGTTTCACTTTTCCATGAACCGTTATATGAACAGGTATGGACCGGTTTAAACCGGTTCAAACCGTTATTTTTTCCACACCGAAGGTGAACCTGACCCAAACCGAAATATCTGAGCCGTAACCTGAACCGAACCGAAGAGTTTCAGTTCGACACCCCGAGTGGGACCAAGCAATATTGTTTAAACTGGCATCTCGTTTAAACAATGAGCGATGTGTTCAAACAGTGTTGTTTGAACAAGCAATGAATTCAAACAATGTGCAATTCCTTTAAAGGATGTTGCTTAAACAAGCACCGAGTTCGGACAAAGAACGTTGTTCAAGCAAGAAGTGAGTTTAAACAATGAGATAGACAATGAGTTTAAAGGATATTCACAAGAATGAGGCGTGGCATGAACCTCCCGCAGTAACTCGTTTAAGTTTCCGTTTCCCTTTCAAAGACTGCATGCGAGATTAATAAGTTTATTATAAACCGCTATTACACGGTTGCAGGTGACAACATTAAACAATAACCGCCGTTTCGGCCGGTCCTCTGGCTTCCACTTGACTCCGGCCATTCCGCAGACAAACAAACTCAACGCCGTTAAGAGACATCATTGTCGGAATGAAAGACCAACGAGCGCACTGCACGCAGCTGCCCGGAACCTTGACCGACAGACGCTCCGTATCTCATGGCCTGGGATCGGACCCGGGGCGAGCTTTGCATAATGGATGAGCATGCCTCGGATGGCTTCGCCTGTGTGTGCCGAGCATGGCTAAAACGGAGCGGCTGCCGCAGCGCCGAGGTGTATACACACGGCGTCGGGGGTAGTTCGCTCTCTCTCTCACGCAGGCGCCCTAACCGAGCTCTCGGGAGCCCCTTTTCATTAGTAAGAAGCGGTTTTGCGTCGGGCTCCATCAATTTTCGCATGAATCGGTCGGACAGAGAGAGAGAGAGAGAGAGAAAAAGAGGAAGACTGAGGCCTGGTTTAATTTAGTGTTGTGCAGAGAGCTACGTTACGCTATGTACGGATGGAGGAGGCAGGCTGGCCGATGACACTCGAATTGCCTTAAGTCTGGTTCACGGATTTGTGTTGGAGCAGTATCCATTGCATTGTGCTCTCTTGTAGTCGCTTACAACCGAAAAAAACAAAAACAAATAGACAACAGAGTGGCGCCTTTTATGCTAGACCTTGAACATATGCGATCTGCATGGCTTTCGAAGTATTGGTGAGGTGAAATCTATGCACTATCTATGAAAAATTATCGCTTTTAATATTGTCCAAAATATGTCAAGTCCCCGACCCCCCCCCCCCCCCCAAAAAAAAAAAAAAAATGTACGTTCAAAAAAAGAAAAAAGGATTATACACGCAGATCACAATTGTCTAACGGCTGCTTTATAAACGCGGTCGAGCTCGCTCAGACGCAAATGTGTGAGCCAGCTTTTACGGTTCAAGCTAGAGTCACGAAATTGGCTACGCTTCAATAGGAACTACACTTTAGCCATCTTGTTGCATAAACTCATTGTTATCCGGTTTACTATCTGAAGCTCTATCTGAAATCGTAGGAAACGTCTTTTATCCGTACTGCAGAAATGTCAAAACGGTGCGCGGCAGAGCAAAACGATATCGCCTAGCTCTCGGACACGGCATCTCGAGCTCAGAGAATCGCATTTTCGAATTGTAACAATCGCCAATTGCGCCCGCTTTGCTGCTCTGGGAAACAAAATGGCGGCGCCCACAACCCCATTGAAGAACAGAGTGTGGATACTATAGGCATAGGTTGCTCATTTAGGGGCTATATACACCAACTCCCTGACTTCACGCCGCTACGGTAACGCCTCTGTCGATGCTGCGCGTTCGCAGACGGTTCCTTTCACGCGAACCTGGTTTCTGCGGACAATTTACGCCAACTCAGTTCGCATAATGTTCTAGAAAACACATACCCCCCCCCCCCCCCCCCCCCCCCCTTCTCCACCTGCATTTCAATGTTCGTCACCAGTGGATTGCAGCGCCAGCCGTTTCGTACTCTGCTGCAGAAGTTCAGAGTATAGCCGGAGCATGCAAGACAAGTGGCGCCTTAGTCTACTGGTGACGAAGGTTAATTAGTAAGCTCCAACATAATTGTGCCTTTGCAAGCAAACGTCTTGTGGGAGCTTAATAAATGACAGTGACAGCATCTAATAATGCCGGCTCGGCCGGGCATCGAAAGATCGCGCTGCAGAGCCTAGGGATTCTGGGTTGAATCCCCACTCCTGCCCATTTCGATCTGTGTGAGCATCGTACCGGCGTGCGGTCGTGTATCACTACTGCGTGGTGCACGTTAAAGACCCCAGGCTAGCGATAGTACTGCACTGGATAAATTGCTCGTGTACATCTGCGACGCCAGGCGCCCATGGGGGCCGACTAAGAATTATCTAGTATTGCTCTTTGCACGTTATATAAAGTGCGGCCCTAGCTTGATATCTACTTTAAAAAAGAAAGGCAGACTGAGAAATATAATCATATTGTTTTTTGTTTACTTACAAAACCCTCTGCAGCACTGAAGCATTGAATGCAGTGTAATTTACCGCAGTCTGAGTAACTACCTTTTGCATTTTGGTTGATGTCGGGCGTTACAGTTTTATGGAGGCAGTTGGAAGCGCAGTGAGCTTTTATATAGCAATTCTTGTAATCAGGGCATGGCAAAAAGTTGATTTGTAGCTAGCGCATATTAAACAAAACTTGTGAATATAACGTGGCCTATCCGGATCCCAAATTAAGTTCTACAGTACTCCATCAAAGTCTTTGATGACTTTGTGTAATGAAAATTTGAAGTTTGTCAGATTAATATTGATGTATCATGATTACGTCAAAATGATCAATTGGTAGGCAAGAATTTTAGGCACCAATATTTCTGTAGCTACGAAAGAGAAATGCATTCTCTTGATATTGGCGACGGATCTTCAGTGAACGGGGAAGGTGATAAGTTAATTAAGAGGCTTCCCTATTTTCAGCTACAACTGGAAGCATATTGAAAGCAAGCTGACTCCTGACGAAATCTTCCACTCCAAAGAAGGAGTCTGCAAAGACTACTGCCTCCTTTTCAGCGAAATGTGCAGGTAAATGTTCACACTGATTTTAAACCTTGATTCAACAGCGTACGCGTTCCAGATAAGTCAAAATTGCTTAAACCAAGCAGCAAAAATATTTCATACCTTTATCAGAAAATATTACACAAGTATACTAATTTCTTACTTTTGTAAAAGAAGGAAAAGGTGTGGCTCGGAAAGTGTGCTCAAATCTTGGCTTTACGTATAATGAATTAAAACATAGTTTGTGAGTACACGCCTGATTCGATCGGCGGCGACATAAACATATGCGCGCTCAGTTAGCGTACTACTAAAGCAGAAAATACGCTTAATCTATACAAAAATCATTCTTCAGGTGGCGTAAATGTATTGATGTGAAGCCAAAATATCATTCGTCTACAGTTTCCTTCGCGTAGTTGACTTCAACAAAGCTGATGATGCCTTGGCCAAATATGTGCTTGACTTTAAACAAGCTGATGATGCCTACGTACAAAATTATCTTGCCCATTAATTGAACGACTTTCACGAGCTTTATGATTAAACAGTCACTACCACTAACGCGCTTTGGAACAAGTTCAAATCACTTGCTAGTTACTGCATCACACTGTTTAGTCCTAAAAACCGTAAAATGACAAGGAAGCACGATCCATGGATCAACCGTGCGAATAATGATCTTAAACATAAAGTCAAACGGCTGAGAAAGCCATCCAAAAAAAGCTCTAAACAAAAAAAAAAAAAAAAAACTTGCCCGAGTTATTTAAGTTGCTCAAATTAAAAATTAAAAAGCAAAGAAAAAGCATTACAACAACACCCTTCACGATTTTATAAAAGGATCACCCCAAACGTTTTGGAACTTATTAGAAGAATGTCTAAGACATAAAATATGAACACTTTATAGGCACAAAGAATGGCAGGTCAATTCAGCAGTTTCTTTAAGTCCATTTTTTGCAGTTGACAGCGGTAACGATAACCTAGTTCTACCTTCTAAGAATCGCGCAGACAAAGACCTTGGTATCTTACAAATCACGGAATCTGGCGTTTTTGAGCTTCTACTAGATTTAGACGCTAAAAAGGTAGTGGTCCTGACGAAATCCCCAACATGTTTTTAAAAAAGTACGATGGATAGATTAGGAAGTACTTAGTAGTTCTGATTTTCAACAAGTCTCTATTCCTTCCTTCAGTTACAACGGAGTGGAAAATTACAAAATTTATTTCAATCCATAAGTTTGGCGCCAGCTTTTCAACCTCAAGTTAGAAACCCACATCCTCAATGTGTACATGCTGCAAGTTGCTGGAACACATAATTTTAAACTTTATGACAGAATTTATTCAGAAACATAACATCTTAAACACGCGTCAGCACGGCTTCAGGAGAGGTTTCTTAAATATTACGCTGCTAATTGAAACACATTATAATTTATCGATGGGTATAAACAACAGAATACAAATATATGCAATTTTCCTAGGGCTGTCAAAGGCGCCTGACGTTGTTTCACACGTCAAACTTACAAGTAAGGTCAAACAGATTATATGGGAAGGACAAATATTAAAAGAAATAAAAAATATAATTTTTTTTTTTTTTTTTTTTTTTGTAATGAAGGGCACGTTTTTCACCCAGTTGCAGTGGTGCCCGGAGTTCCGCGAGGTTATGTTTTAGCTCCGATATGATTTCTTCTGCTCATAAACGAGATTACAAGCGGCCTCGAAACAAACATTAAGTTATTTGCAGAATACTCCGTTATTTATCGTAATATTTCATTCCAAAATGACTACATATTACTAAACAGAACTCTGAGGAAGGTGGCAGACTGGTGCAGTGACTGCATGATTCTAAACGCAGAAAAGAGGGTTTCTATTTGCCCGACTAAAAAGAAAACAGAATGTTCTAAATATTCTTACGATATAAATTATATAAACTTGCGTAGAGTAACTGAATTCAAGTATCTAGGTGTTGTAATAATGTCAGATCTAATCTTGAACGCGCATATAAAACATGTCACATGTAAAGTTCTTATTGAAATATATTTTTAAGAGAACGTTAAAATATCCAAGTATTGAAATGAAGCTGTTCACACCAAACTTGCACGCGCGGTATTAAAATATGCAATCATAGCCTGATTTCCATCATACACAAACCAATAACAATATCCTTGAAAGTGTTCACAGGAAAGCAATAAAATGTGTATACCACAAACATGGACGGTTGGAGTCTCCCACTGAGTTACTGAAAGGATCCGGCTTTTTGACCATTGCTGATCGCGCAGAATTAGGACGACTTAAATTTTTGCATCTCCTTTTAAACGACGCTTTGAAATAGACAGAAACAAGTATATAAACTTTTCTCAGTCAAGAACAAGACACAAACACAGCAATGCACCTATCGAATATTCACGTAATAATATTACTTTCAGGTACAATTTTTTTTCTGCCATAAGAGACTGGAGCAGCCTTTATACGAATTTCTTTAGTTTGACAAGTGTAGAGTAATTCCTAAGTGCTCTTGATCAGCACCTCCTTAGTTAATTAATGAGTTTATTGAATATTTAGGAAAGTGACGCTTTTAAGAATTGTATTGTTTTCACACACCTCAAAACCGCGTTTGTATGTATCTTTGCCTGTTATAATCCCACAAGAAGATTTTCAGTGTTCTCAAACAAATTTTAAAAAAAAGAAAGAAGAAAAATATGTGCATTTCGTCCCCCCAAAGCGAACGCTAGGACGTTTTTCTTTGCCACAACGTAAAGCTAGACACATCACTACACTCTTAAAAAAAGCTAGTGAGAAGTTAGCAACTGCAGTAGTTACTACCTCTTTCTGACTGTCACTTCATTTTTACTAACAATTTACTACATAAAACGTACGATAGGTAATAACTACAGCTGCGATGTGGGGAAGCATGGCTGCTGGGAACCTGGAGGAACGCTGTTATATAGACTGTCGTCAATAATTACTGTGTGTGCCGTTACTTCTTAGCCTTACGTCTTTCTTCTACATAGGAATAATTAATTAGCGCAACAAACAGAAGTGAGTGTTCGGCAGTCGGCTATCGAATTCCTATCGCCCGCACAAGACGGTCGCTATACGCTTGAACGTGTTCGCAGGAAAGAGAAGGTCGCATGCTCAGTTTCCAGTACTCGTCTAAGGATCATTCGACTTTTCTTCATTTTCGAGTACTTTGCTTACTGAATCGCTCCCTCGATTCTAAACTAGCTTTAATCTTCTACTTCCGTGGAGGAACTACAACGTTTGGAGAAGGGAGTCATTAGGGAGTTTTAGGGAACCATTTTTGCACGTTCTATACGGTACGATGGGCTCTCCGATACGAACCGCGCATATCCAAGTCGTCTGCGGTAGCAGATGCGTAGTTTGCACCGGAAGGCCCATCATACCACATCGGACGTGCAAAAACGGTTCCCCGAAACTCTCTAGTTGAAGACTCTACTGTCTGATGGAGGCATTCAAGCGGCGCTGAAGGTGCATGGTCAGGGAGCTCGTCGTCTCTGTGCGTCGCCTATCACTGGATAAACGAATCCCGCGCAGCGAATATATGTGCCGTAGACCTACGTTTTTCTCTTTCTCCTGCGTGTGTTTGTTCTTGCCAGTAATAGCAAAACAAACAAAGGAGAATTACACTTTTAGCGCTGCTTGATTGGGTTCATGGTATCGTAGCGGAATCTGCGGCGGGAGGTAGAGTGAAGAGAAAAAGTATGGCTTCCTTTACAGTGGTAATGTTAGCAAAGACACTGCGTTATTTGATTTAAAACAATATTCGCGGGACCATATAAGTAAGCGGAACTGTGCCGAGTATCACTCGTACGTTTAAGGGTAAATAAACAATCGGGTAATTGGTGCGACGTAACTGGAAAAGATAAATCCATCGAGAGACAGCGGCTCGGCCTGCTCGTTTGTTGTAGTTAACGCCAAAGCCTAGGTGCTGTTATTTTTTTTTTCAGTGGCTTTTACGTTATTGTCATACCAGCGCAGCAACCAATTTTTACCCACCGACAACACGGAAGCAGCCTTTCAGCAACCGGAGAAATCTTCCGCATTATTTTCTGCTTAAAAACAACAGTGCTTTGCTCTTTCTCATTCGAGGTCCTTAAATAGAGATTGAATGAGGGGCCAGACTGGTGCGGTTAATTACCAATGCTTCATATTACATTGGAGTCGTATTTCTGTGCAATAGTTTATGCAGACCGCAGATTTTTTTAGATATAACCAAAAAACACCGATAAAAGTTCGATTAGTTTACAGTTTAGAACCAAAAACTCTGATAAATTTCTGCTAATCTTAAAATATAAAAACGGTACAAAAAAAAACGCATTTTTGAAATTTATTGTTTAATCTTGGACTGTTTCTGGTGTAAACACTCACATCTTAAAATTGAACTTTTTATTTAGCTTTTTTACCGATAACCCCCCTTTTTAGCGTGCGTTCGAAACAAATAACCGGAAAACACCGATATTTACAAATAAATAAACGCCGAAATATCTACGGCCTACGCACATAAGATTTAACCCCAAGTAGGACCCAGTGCAACCACGATTCGGGGGTCATTTCATTTTTTCGCTGCATTAGGGAATAAATTGGGTCGAAAACTGATGCGCCCACCTTGTTCCCAGTGTGCTACCGTAAAATCCCGCGTGAACGCTTACCCGTGGTAGAGAAAGATAAAAAAAGAAAGAAGCAAATGTGAAGTGGGCGATACATCGAAATTAGGCGTTCGTTCGGTACTTTACGTATATTAAATATCTTCTTTTTTTTTTTTTTTTTAATACGACCAGACTAGCCAGCATCCGGGAGAAAACGCTGCAGGGCTTCGCCAAGGGTTTCGATTACAGGCCCGGACACCAGTTCCACCCGGGTCAGGACGTGACCCACGCCTGGAACGCGGTGTTCATCCTCGGGGCTTGGAGGCTCATAGACACCACGTGGGGCACAGGTAATTTCAGGCTCTGCTTTCAGCCTACAGTTGTCTTCACATCAGGAACTGTATGAAAAGTCCGGCTCCTTGCAGAGTATTATTAATTTCCACCTTTATGTGAAGAATTAAGATATACACCGAAACATTTTAGATTAGATATATGTTATCTTAAAGGTGCATACATGTTTCAAACGCCGAAAGCGTTGCCTTCTCCGACAACCAAATCTTGTGAAAATTATTTCGCACGGCGTAGGAGGAATGTGGAAAACTTGCTTTCTTCTTGAGGGGAAAATCAATATAGTTTACCAGCGGATTGTTGTCCGTATTCGGCAGGAAAGTGAACTCGCAGGACTTCTTTTTAGAGTGTAGACGGTGTCGCCTGAATATAGCACGCGATATGTACGGTCTCACTGTATTTAACACACACAGATAGACAAAATTTCTTTTTCCAAAATTAGCGTTTTAAAGGCTAGCTTTACCAAGCCCCTCCTTCGTTTTTTTTCCCGTAAACGCATGTCTTTTTAGCGGCGTTTCACAATGGCGGCCTGTCGACCTTGCAGGCTTCACCGACCACACCGGGAAGTTCCAGCGTAAAATCAACGAACACTTCTTCGTGACCGACCCTGAGGTGCTCATATGGACGCACTTTCCCCACGACGAAATGGAAAAGAATTACTCCAGGTAAAACGACAGAGTTTTGCAAAGGACCTTGTCTCGCAACCTCGCTTCCGCCTGGACAAAGGAACACTTCTTAAAGGTTCCGTTTTATAGCGCATTAATCTGCGTTGTCTTCTTTCCCGACCACAGCTTCATTTTTGTAGAATTTAGGCCACTAACCATGGGGCATGGGGCGTTATTATCCTAAAGAAAGCACAGGTGTGTTCGTTACATTTAGTGTGCAGCTTTCTTACGTATCCTGTAACGGGTTTCTTTGATAAAGATAAAAAAAATATTTTGTTTATAGACCTTTTCTGTGTACTCTTGTCCCCAGCCACCTAATAGGCGTATCCGGTATGGGCGATGAAAAAATAATCAAATGTTTCAACCTGCAAATAGTAAACAAATAAAGGGGAGGCAACACGAGAAAAAGTGACGGTTACGCTTATGTCCTAAATGCCTTCTATTGGCGTGGCAAAGGCAAAACAAGGTTACCGCCTATACTGGAAGTGACGACTATTAAAGATGGCGGCGCACTTGCAAAAAAGGTCTCTAGAGAAACTCATATTCTTCATTTTAGAGGGCGTGGCCAAGTTCAAGAAGGATTTTTTATTGACAGAGAAAAGTAACGCAAAGAAGTTAAACCGGCCTTATGTTAAATGCTATTCTGTTTGGACGTTCTTGCCTGTCATAAAGTATTCAGCTTAATAAGCCCTCGTGTCTGCAATAAAAAAACTTTTGTCAAAGCTCGGATAGAAACAAACACTAAAATCTGTCAAAAAAAAAGAAAAAAAAGAAGGTGTTATGTTTAAAAGCAACATTTAAATGAGTTGTGAATTCAAATATACGGCGTAGTTCTAAACAGGAAGAGGTCCCGACAGAGCGTGTAGCCCTTTTCAGAATTTGAGGAAAAAACAAAGTGACAGAACTGTCATTTGCCCTTCCCGGAAAGTGATCGAATGTTTGCTAAAAGTAAATACTCACACAGCGGATATCTTACTTGACAAACCGAGATGAGTTGAGTTATGTGGAAGCTATTTATATCGTATCCGCTTCCTCAAATTTGAATTGACTACGAGTGTCAAAGTCAATATATGGTTTGTATTGACGCCACATCAGCAGCCATTGGGGTGGCTTTGCTGCTGAGCGCGTCGGTTCTGTAGCATCGATTTCGCATATCCACCAACATGGTCAATGACGTCGCAGGCAAGCCATAATGATCCTGTTGCTTCAAGGGAAATGAATATAAGCGAAATATCTAATAGTGGCGATATCATGATGTTTTCTATCTATTTCCAGGTGGCAGCTCCTTGACAAGCCCTTAACCCTGGAGGAGTTCAACTCTCTTCCCAAGATGACGCCGCATTTCTTCCAGTTCAACATGCGCATCCGCACCAAGCCCCAGAACCCAATTATCTTCCGTGTCCGCACCGAGCTCCGGCTCGCCTCTCACGAACCGATGCGCTACAAGTTCAAGTTCTACCCGTCCGACGAAATCGAGAACGCAACCCTCAACAGCTACGTGTTCTGTCACCTCCTCGAAGACAGGACGGTGGCCTGCTTCGGCGTCACGCCGCCGGCGGAAGGACGCTACTTCCTCAAGATCTACGCCAAGCCAGAACGGGACATGCGCGGTGACACCGCCACCGACGGCGCGGCGAGTCTCCAGAACATCGGCATCTTCCTGATGGAGTGTCTTCGTGCCAAGAAGTACCTGTTTCCGTATCCCCTCAACGAGGTGCCCTGGGGACCCACCCAGACCTTCTACGATTACAACATGCGCTTGGTCGATCAGACCGGACCAGTGATAGTGTCTTGGGGCGCCAAGCGTAAGCTGACCATAGGCCTGTCAGAGACCATGCTGGTGAGTCATCAGCTTCTGGACGCCGACGGTGTGGAGATGGATCTTAAGGGCATGATCACCAGGGAGGACAAGGACAAGAAAGTGACGTTTCAGATCGTGCCCCAGCGTGTGGGAATGTTTAAGTTGGTCATCTTCGCGATGCCCAAGCCTAAGCTTAAAGGCAAGTGGAGGCTGCCTCTTGTAGCCACCTTTCTGATAGACTGCAAGCTGACAAGGTTACAGCTGGACGAGGAGCTGAGGTTAGCGCACCACAGACCTCCTCTGCCGGAGGAAGACAAGCAGAAGGAGGAGGAGAAGAAGAATGAGAAGGACAAAAGGGTTAGGGTAACTATGATGCGCTAATTGGTGATGGGTGAACTATTGCTGGGACGAAAGAGCCCACGATCGTTTGTTGAACATCAATCGCTGACAGTGTACTAATGATAAAACGCCCTTTGGTCGCTGGAGTTAACCAACAAGCACGAGCTTATTGTTAGCGAAATCAATGAGGTGTACAGTTGTTTCTTAAGTCACAGTACGGCATATAAGTCAAAACTCTTGCTAGTTATGCCTTGCAATGGTGAAAGACGCGAACGTATGACGAAGGTGAACTAGAGTATCATCCACGCACAAAAGTCATCATACTATGTAAATACACGTTGATTCAGAGCAAGATTATGTCGAGTTTATAGTGTGCTTCCAATTGGGGTATTTTTGAATGTGGTAGCTGAAACACGCTGATAAACGTGTGGGTTTCTTTAGTTACGGGTGAGATAACTAAAAACAAGTGCAGAAGAAAATATAAAGAGGCCCAGAAAACGGCATCTCTGCATAGTCTTCTTTCATTCAAGCGAAAAAGCTGCCACCGTGAATGTGCAAATATGACAGTTCCCAAACAGATTAGATTTTCCTAAAATATTACTAACCAAAGTTCTTTTTTTTTTTTTTCTTCTTTTTTCAACTCGCTACCCTTCGCCACATACTGCTTTTTATTGATTCCTCTTTGAGCCAGGGATCCGGGTATGTCGCAGTATTTTCAACAAAGACTATATTCCGCGTCTCTTCCGGTGTGACGCAATATGCTCCTATATAATACATCAAGAAATATTAAGGAAGCAAAAGGAACTAATGTGTCTGCTTTATTTCTTCAATACCAGTGCCTTTCGTCGACACAAGTTTGTCGGAAGCTTTCTTTTATTAAGGCGTTCTTGTTAGAATAATAGAAAGTGTGCTATGTGATGTCTCATACGGAAGACACATTATATTTAATCACAAGACATTGTGTAAACCCGAACATGGTCTTCACAAAGGTGAGTTTAAAAATAAACAAAGCAAATGATTTACGGCTCTTCCGAGTTTTACTTAAAGCGGTACTCCAGGGCTTTCGTGACCTGCCCCAACTGACAATATTTTTGGCATCACCGGCCTTTGTTCTTTACGGGATGATATTTAGTATCGCGAAATTCAGAACATCTATCGTGAAATCGGCAAGTGAAAATTATGCCAAACCAACAGTCGATCACACCCGCGCTTTTCAGTGGCGAGACGTTAGTGCAAGGCCGGCTTGCAGGTCGAGCAGGTAGTCTAAAAATGGCCCATGCCAAGTATTTCTCTCATGCAGCTGCACCGGTGCTGGAGCAAACTTCCAAAGCATTCATTTGATGCCATGAAACCGCTTGTAATCAGTTGGGAACAGTCTACAATCGAAAGAGTGAACCCCCTGCCTTCCCCTTACGTCACTTTTTTATTGTTGCCAGTAGAGACTTTCACATTAAAAAACACGGCGAGGACCAAAATTATAAATTCAGTAACTTCAATAAAAAAAATTTGGACCAATATTTGAGTTACCATTTCAGTGATGTTTATTTGTAAATTTCGGACAGGTCGGGGACTATGAAGAAAACGCTGGAGTACCCCTTTTACGTCGTGGGTTACAAATAAAATGCTTTGTGTAAAACGTTTAGAAATGCTTATTAAATATTTATCTTCTTTTTTTTTAAACTTCACTCGAACAGATTGTAAACATGAACCAAAGTAATTAACGACACCTATGTCCTAAAATGAAGTTATTTCTTTCGAACTATATATTGATGGCAAAACTCTTTCTGCTGCTCGAAGACAAAGTAGACAAAACACTTTCTGTTGCCCGAAGCAGGCAAGGTCACACACCATGGAGTCCAGACCGTTTTGTGTTTGAACGGTCAATGAAGTGAAAGCACGCGAGCGGGATATCACGAGGAAAGATCATTATGCCTTTTTTATGGGCACGCGTGCTCACATTCGTGTGCAAGCGCTGTACGAATGTACGAACTATAGACGGCTTTCAAGCAACTGTGCATGAGCGCCACCATAACCGACCTTCAGTTTTTCTTTCCTCTTATTCCGTTCGCTTCACTTCACCATTGCCCCAGCAGGACAGGTTATTGCCACTTTAGGTGCTCCTGTGTCCTTCTCCCCAGCATAGGTCCTAGTGGAGGCTGGCCAACGCCCGCTTCAGTGGCTCGGCATCTCGGTAAGACAAGAGAGGGTCGGCAATGGCGGCTTAAACTGGCGCGTGTTTAAAGCGTCTATAAACCTCTCCAGAAAAGAGCGTGTGGTCGGTGCCATTTTGAGTCTTCGCGCGCTTGGCATGTGTTTTGCTCGCTTTCTGAAGCGACGAAGACGCACCTCTTTGTCTGTGAAGAGCGTACACTGTACTGAAATTTTGTAAACATTGCAAAAGTCTATACCCAGGGACAAGTTTCTGTAGAATTTCCAATATATAGCGAAGAAACAAACTAAAACTATTGGACTAACGTAGCGATGCAGGCGAGTTGGTTATGCATGTTGAAAAGTAGTGAAAGCGCACAATAAAGACGAATACGAAGACGGAGAGGCAAACAGGACGAGCGCTGACTATCAAGTAAATTTTTATTGGAAAATAGAAACAGCAAAAGGCCACACATATTACAGAAATGTGACTAGTCATCAAGGACTCGGCCACCCACACGAGTCAATAAAATCCACTTCTTTTTTGTAAAGGAAAAGTGAGGGCTGACTGATACACTTATCAGGACGTTCCTTCTTTATCATGTATGCTTCCAGTACCTCTCTCGCCACCTTTTCTTTACCTCTCCCAACGATTGTAATGCCTTGAAAGTTGAGAATGCAACGTCAATCTCTGCAATGTATGTGTAAATGTGCTCCTGTTGTTGAACGCAGTGACAAATAATGTTCACGCAACCGTTCATTCAAACACCTCCAAGTCTGGCCTATGTAAACCTTGCAGGAGCCCAATGGAATTTTATATATTACAACCACCGCAAATTTCACGTATTTGTTGATATGCTTTACCTGTTCATTGCCGCTAATCCATGCCTTTCTTTTTTATCCTTGGACATTGTACAACATGGCGGCAGTCAGGTGGGGTCACTTTTGCCTGGTGAACGGGATACCAGTTTATCGCTCTATGCCCCTCTACCTCGTTGGTTCTAAAGTAACTGGATCCTGGGAAAGTTGCGCCATCGCCTTCCCTGCCTGCTAGTCGGACACAAACAGATACTATCATTCAGACGACCAAAACCTCGCAAGGAGATTGGCTAAACTGTCTATGTTGACATGAAAATCGCCATCTCGGTACTTTCAAATCTTCGAAGCTTCCAGAGGGTCGTTCTAAACCAGTCGCGCCAAGATCACCATGGAGCACCATCGTACCGGAAGTGTTCCTCGCCAATATAAGTGTCTTTGGCACAGTGTATGCAATCAACTTATCAATCATGCTTATCTCCACTTATCTCTCACAATTATATTCTTTTTCTTGCGTATTTCAAGAAAAGTAAAATTATTGTTCAGTGCCTCCAAGCACCGACACAACGTGTGGTGGTGGTACGAAGATGTACGCTTGTTTCACCGGTGTGTGGGTAGCGAAATCTCGGTATACAAAAAAAACGTCTCCATAAAGCCGTCACCAGCGAATTTAGATCAGCTCACCAAGAACGTAAGGGTTAAGGGGAAATTGCTTATTTCACAGACCAAAATGGTGACCACACGGGGAGCTTGGCGCTACATTCCCAAAATCCAGTGACTTTAGTTGGTCTCAGTAGACCTTTTGCTAAATTTCCCAAGCACCAAGGTGCATGCTACGAGTGTGGTTACACGCGATGCACGTCCTGGCGTCTGCAATAATAACTGTTCTAAAGCAAAAGCCTAAAACTAATTTTACCTTTCGCGCGCGTTCGTCAAAGCCTTATGATTATTAACTTTAAATCTTTTTTAACGAGAAGGCCGGCGCGAGCGGAGCGTAGAATTACTTTCAGCATTCTCCTCGATGCTTGGGTAATTTAGTAAAGTGTATATTTTATCTGGAACCGAATTACACGGTTTTCAATTTACGATGATGTTATATACAATTCTTACATGCTGGCCAACCATGCTGCCGGTGTACCGCCCGCCTTTCACCGCTCACGCTTTCCTCAACGTTTCTAGGACTGAACTTCGTCGTCCTCCTTCGAACTTGGAAGGAAATTTCAACGAGACTTGTCTTCACTTCAGACAGTCAAATAGTTACAAAGTTTCCAAACAAGTGTTAATTTAGTTTTACCTAACGTTACTAAAACACTCAGTAGGGAAACTCGCCGTCGAAACCTGGGCCGCTGGCGTCCACCGAGACCGAGCTAAATACGACAAGAGCGCCACTCTTTATCAGTTGTTTGTACTGTGGTCGCCTTGAGCTTTTAGAAAGCATGTTTTTGGGTAAAAAGAAACAAAAAAGACTCTTTTGTATGAAATTTATTGGAGTTTAGTAGAAAATGAAGGGCGCGTGATGTTTTTAACATCTTAAGTTTGCAAGGTTTTGCAGCAAAATTAATATTAATTAATAACCATGGCCTCAGCGGTGCTTTCAGGTAGCGCGTCCCGACCTAGGTGCGTTTTAACTTCGGTAGTAACACGCGGCGCGTCCGCTGGGGAGACGAGGGTGGCGCCCCTGTAACCTCTTCCGCTGTATCTGTTTCGGCGCCAAAATGGCCGATTAAAGCCAAAATAGAAGTAACGTGCGGTTGCCCGACTGGCCGCTGCGGGAGAAATGGTGGCGTTGTGTAAGCCATTAGCTCGGTGCTCGAGGACAGATCGGGGCCACTTTTTCAGAGCAGTCTCTATGGCAGTTTCCCACCTGAGTGGTTTAGTAACGTTGGTTTTACCTCACCCGAAATCTGCCCCACGAGCAACTAAAAGTTTTTTTTTTTTTTGTTAGCTCAAATGTATGCCGCGCCGCGTCGCGAAACGTGGTATCGCGTGTTGCATGGGCCTGCTCCCGAAATTTATCGAAAGGTGACTTTCGAGAACTTTACCCCGAAAGTCACCTATATTCGCTATAACCAGTAGGTGACACCGGCTACAACGCCATTATAAAACACGGAGCTATCGCTCATCCAGCCCTCGTCAAACCTGGCTAGCTACTTGTAGGTACCTAGTAGGGAAGGGCGGCTAACTTTTTATCGCGGTTAAAGTTAACCGGCTTCGAGCAAACGGGCTCAGGTACAACATAGGAATAAATTCTCAAAAGTATACATTTTTTTATCTTCCTGATTTAGCTTTGGCATCCATGGTTGAATGCATCGCCT